CGGTGAGTTGCTTCCTCTCCGTGCAGCCTGACTTCTGACACAAATGCACGCATGTGGCTGTACTTGCTGTCGTACAGGCTGTAAACCTTGTTGAATGAACAGCAGCTGACAGGGGTGTTTTAGTTTTGTTGGCTTTGGTGGTCTGAACTGACGATAGATTGCTTTTGTCAACAGTGATCGCGCAATGTCTGGTTCGAAGGACGGTAGTAGCTGGGAAGGCAGTAGGCTGTCCCCAAAGTCGGTACTTGACCTCCCGTATCCTGATTTTATGTCGTGGATGGCAGCGATTAGGGTAGTGAGAGGAGCGGTGATGTCAGAGATGTTCATGCGGTCGCGCTACGATCCCACAGCAAACACTTCAAATCTTCTCTCATCCCGTTTGGAGAAGTTCTTCCGAGATAATCGCCAGACTATTAACTCGTATGAGAACAAAGTGCGCCTTAAGGACAGACTCCTCTCAACTCTCTCGCCAGTCTTTCCAAGTGAGTTTGGGCTAAACTGGTTCATTGGTAAGTTTTTTTAAGCGTCTCACATCTGTGTACACAGCTAGGCTATATGTCTCTTCATATGATTATTATCGATGTGCGCTTTGATGTAGCATTACTATTCTACATCGTTCCGCCCACTACTAAGCCATTGTGAATTCGCGTGTCAGTGGGTCTGAATTCCGTCCATCCCTGTACCAATGGTCAATCCTTTTACAATTTCACCCTGTTGTCAGCTGATTGACCAGTTTGGCGAATTAGTTACGCGGTGGTATATCAAGCGGTTTGCCTGTGGTGATATTTAAGCGTGTCTATCGTGGTTAATAAAGCTGTAAGTTATGTATCTTTAATTGACAGTTCACTTGTTCACGAATCCACAAACCTATGCTCCCTGTATGCATACACCCATCCATCCTGTATCCATCCATCCATCCACCGATCCATCTATCTATTTCGTGCCTTTGCCTCCATTTTGTAGCTGTTCGTCTACCTGTTCATTACCCAAGGTTGTGGTCTCCTCCGCCACTTGCTTATTTTTCGTTGAATTCTCTCCATTGTATAGACGCCAAGCTGTTTATTGTGGGTTCCTCAGCCAATGGTTTTGGATGGGATCAAAGCGACCTTGATTTGTGCCTTGTGATTGCGCCAGAGGAGGTGCGGAGTAAGGGAGGCGACCAGCCGGTGCTGGAGCAACTCACTCCTTTTTTGCGCGGATGCTGTGAGTCTTGGTTTCATCATTTTGTTTTATTTGTGAGGTGAATATCAAAGGATGAATTGCGCTTTGAGTGCGCTGGGTGCCATCCCCAAAGACGAAGTGAAGCAGCCTGCCCTACGATTGTTGAGGGGCATCGGCAGCTAGTTTCATGCAGAAGTTGAGAGAGGTGCTACGTAAATGTAGCAGAAGACTGTGAGGAGAGAGGAATGTAGTTTTTGCTCCTGGAATGCGTTCCTTGTGTAAAGTGAGAAGAAATGGCGTGCCTTTGTTAATGGCCCATTAGTGCCACTGCAGTGACGATAGGGTGTGCAGAAGGGCGTAGTGAGGCCTCTGTTGCAGTTGGGAGGGTAAGGAGGGGCGGATGGGCTGAATCACTAAAGACCGTAGATGCCTTCTTTTTTACCTACGTTAATCTCCCTGTAGGTTTTATCACGCGTTGTATGCTGATCCCTGCAAAAGTGCCAATTCTTAAGCTTCGTTGCCGCATATGGAGTTTTGACTGCGATTTGAACGTCAACAATGTGGTGGGCATTTACAATACTCACCTCCTTGCCATGTATGCTCGAGGTGAGACTATCTTTATTAATCTTTGTTGAAATCTCTCTTCACGTAGTGTTGGGGCAAAAATGAATCTGCGTTTACCCATGTTAATAAATCCAGGTTGGATAGGAAAAAGGCGTAGTTGTTGAAGTGTTCTATCGACTGCCGCTTTGTACTTGTTTGATTGAATTAAACGTAGCGTTTATCAGGCCTCAGGGTGTCGGTGATGGGTGTGATTATTGTGCGTGGTACTTCGCTTGTAAGTACAGGACTGATACGGTTGCGTGTGAGTGGAAGATGTAGTATTTCGTGACGGTTATGTTGATCTGGAGGAGGATCAGTGAATTATATGGTGTGTTGGGAGGTGTGCACACAATGGATGCAGTGGATCTGAGAAGTACGAATTTCCTCCTTAACAGTCGACCCTCGGGTGCCTCCACTGGGCGTGTTTGTGAAGCACTGGGCTCAAATGATGGACATCCATGGTGGCAGCATGGGGAGGCTGTCCACATATGCCCTGCTGCTGATGGTAATCCAATACCTGCAGTGTGGATGCTCGCCTCCTGTTGTACCGAATCTTCAGGCCCGTTTCCCCGTAAGTCGTTGTTTCACTGAGTTCACCTTACTATTTTCTGCCTATAGGTGGAGACGGATAGTCTATTGAGACTTAGAAATACTCGCTCTTTGTGTAAGGGTAGTTGATGAGTGGATCGGATATGTAATTGACAAAGTACTGAGGGATTTATGCTGGGACAGGAACAGCTTTTTTGAGGTCGTGGAAACCACTGGCATTGGAAAGGCTGTAGTCATTCTTCACCTAACGTTAGACAAGAATAAAGGGGATGAGATAATGTTAAGAGAAGTGGAATGCTTGTCCTTCGAATTAAATGAAATCTTCTCAAATGAGTGTGTCGGATGCATAGAATCCCACTGTGATTGTGACCACACTTCCTAGAAGAGACGTTGTGCTGCAGATGTGTACTTCTCCATATTCCTTCTACCACGGTCTGTATGCAGGAGACGTTGCCTCAGTGTATGTGGTCTGAAGGTCATTGTAATATTTGGCCAGGTGTGACTGCTACACTGACGTATATGCCATCTACATTCTCCACCTCTTGTAGAAGATTTTCGACTGCGCGCGTCCATTGGAGGAGGTGGATATGAATGCAGAGCTGCCGTGGGACGAGTTGCGCAGTGCCAACAGGTCCACGTTAGGCGAGCTCTTTGCCGGTTTCATCGTCTACTACACAACCTTTGATTTTGCCCGTTGGGCCATCTCGATTCGCAATGGGCGGCCCTTGGCCACGAATGTGGCAATTCAGCGTCTTCCATCTAACGAACAAGCCTGCAAGATCTTTGTTGAAGGTGAGTATAGGTGTTGTGAAAGAGGTTGGGATAGAGACCTGCCCCATTTAGTCACTCAATGCTGATTCGATGCTCCGCTTTGGAAGTGGAGTTGTGTCTGTACTGCTTCTTAGCTTGTGATAAGGCATGCTTCTCTTGACGTGAGCGAACACGAGGAGCAGAATGGGAGGCCATGGGAAGGTGTAGTGTCATGGAAGGCGTCTAGACGTAGCTTTGTAACTATGGTAGCTATTATTTTTACGTTTGTGGCTGGAATTGATATTGTTGACGAATATGGAAGAGGTGGCAGGTTGATGCAGCGTAGCGGTATCCTTGTCGCAGCGGTTATCACCGAGGCTCGTTTCACTACATGGTCTCGGGTGTAGTCGTCGTTGCTCCTCTTGACCACTGGTCGATCCTCATGCCTCTTATTTATTGGTGACAAGTCCTTTGGTGAAATGTAGTAATTGACGGGGTGGTGGTGAGCTTACTGAGGGAGGACTGCTGTCGACTCCGGTTTGGGGCATGTCGCGTTGGGCTGTAGGATAACATTCACCTGAACACTATGTTAGGTGGGTGAGACAGCGTATTCTTGTACTGTGGTGTGAATGGTTGCGTTGATGATCGTGTTGGAATTCGAGAGGTTGTCAAAAATTGACTGTGCTTGGGCGTCCTAATGCAGCGCGTCTGGATGGATTGAGTCATCAGCAGTGGGCGTCTTCCCACTCTGACACTAGAATCTTGGCAGTTGTCACCAATGTGGCCTTTGCACTGATGAAGGTTTGATTTGAAAGAAGTGTTTTTTTTTGTCACTTGTTTGTTCTCCCGTGCAGAACCCTGCGGTAAAGGCAACGTCGCACACACCGTCTCCGATGAGGCAGTGTTTGGAGCAATTCAACGAGCCTTCAAGTATTCGGCCAGCGTCCTACATAACCTTAATCTCCAGGATTCTTTCTGAGAGTGGTCGTCATCGTCGTCGTCATCCTTAACTTTGTCTGCATGCTTGTGTAGTTCTCACTCCCTTTTCTCCCCTCCTTCATTGACTTGCA